GGTGATGGTCAGCAGTGTCAAAGGCTGCAGTCAGGTCCAGCAGGACCAGAAGACAGGAGAAGACAGAGCACACACACACACACACACACACACACACGCACACGCACACGCACACGCACACGCACACACACACACACACACACACACACACACACACACACACACACACACACACAATCAATCAATCAATCACCTTTATTTATATAGCACTTAATCCTACAATACATGCAACTCAAAGTGCTTAACAAATTACAAAGGCCCCACATACCCACATTCCCTCCTATCCCCAGAATTTTAAAAACAGTCTGACAATAAAAACCCCTTCACAACACTCCTCCACTGACACGCACACACACACACACACACACACACACACATACATTCCCCCTTATGGGGCGACAGTGGCACAGGAGTTAAGCGCTCGCCCCGTAATCGGAAGGTTGCAGGTTCGAGTCCCGCTCAGTCTGTCGCTGTCGTTGTGTCCTTGGGCAAGACACTTAACCCACGTTGCCTGCTGGTGGTGGTCAGAGGGACCAGTGGCGCCAGTGCTCGGCAGCCTCGCCTTTGTCAGTGCACCCCAGGGCAGCTGTGGCTACATTGTAGCTCATCCCCACCAGTGTGTGAATGTGTGTGTGCCATTTACCATTTCCCCATGGTAAAAGAAAAACAGGATTGGCTGAGATCAGATGAGCCAGACCAGCTAAGATAAGGTTAAAGAAACGCCATCAGGGGAGCCATGCACCCCAACAGCAGCAGATCCACAGCAGCAGCCGGGGCACCGACACCAGGCGCCCAGGGCAGGGAGGGCAGAGACCCCCACCACCACCACATGGAAAGCACCCAGGCCGCCACAGCCGACCACTGCCGCCAGGGCAGAGGGCTCCCACAGAGGAAGCACTGGAAAAAGTTTAAATTAAGGTTAAAATATAAAATCCAAAGAGCTAAAATGAGAATTGTAATATCAAAAGTTATATTCAATTCAATAATTTTATTTCACTCAAAATTTAAATATACAAACTTCAAATCAGAATACAATTGTCAACCAGAAACAAGCATTCGAATGAATACAATAATTCGAGTGAAATAGGGGGAGGAAGAAGAAAAAATCCTATATGAACTACCCCTTTAACTAAGACAAGATAAAGTACAAAAAGTAAAATAGATATTAAAATAATGTTGATCATAAATCAAGGTAAAAAAACTGTTTAAAAAGTGCATATATAGAAAGAATATATTAAATAAATAAAAGAAATAGATAAAATAAATAAACTAAGTAATTAATTAATTTAAAAAGTGAGAGTATTCAGTTAAAAGCTAAGCTAAAAAGATGTGTCTTGAGCCTGTTTCTAAAAACACGAACGCTCTCTGCAGCCCTGAGGTCCCCTGGCAGCTCATTCCAGAGGCAAGGACCGTAGTACTGGAAAGACGCCTTGCCGTGACTATGCGTCCTAACTTTAGGGATGACACGGAGACGGCTGTCAGAGGAGAGCAGAGACCGCGTGGGTTTATACCATCGACATATATGCTGGACAATTCATTTCCATAGGCTCCAATAACACATTTTGAGGACAAATGGGAGGTGGCCACCACCGCCATTTTGACCGTGTCACAGGATCCGTCAAGCCCAGACAATTCCACAAAAGGGAAGAGAGGTGGAGCTGAGGGTGGGGCTGTAAGGCTGGGATCAACTGACGACACCCAGTCGAACTAGCTACAAGCTAACCTGAAGCTAACCCAAAGCTAACGCGGAGGTGGGAGCTAAGCTAATGGAGGTAGCAACCTAGCTACAACCGGAGTTAACTGTGCACAACACCAGAGCTTCTGAGTCAGAGATACGCTGGGCTGACCGCTGGGTAAAACCGGGTGGAACACAGAGGTCTCCCGAAAGCTGCTGAAAGCCGGCAGCCTGCACAGCAGACAGAAGCTGCGATCAGACAGAGATGCGCCGAGCTGCGGGGAGGGGAGAACCACAAGCCGGCAGCCCGCGCAGCAGACAGAAGCCGGACAGAAGCAGAGGGGCCGGTGGCGCCGGTTGCTCGGCAGCCTGGCCTCTGTCAGTGTGCCCCAGGGAAGCCATGGTTACAATACAGCTCTTCACCACCAGGGTGTGAATGGGTGAATGACTGGTTGTGTTGTAAAGCGCCTTGGAGGTTCCAGGACTCCAGAAGGTGCTATATCAAATACAGGCTATTTAACATCTACCTTAATCTGTGAAAACTCATCACAACTCCAGTTCTAGATCAGGCCGGTCTTTAGACCTGCTCGCAACAGAAGAGATCAAAGAAGGTTTAAACTAAAGATGCTCTATTGACTGCTTCACCATGGGAAGTGCATCAGATGGATTACAGTAATAGCAGATGCCTGTTTTTAAACGCCTTCATAAAGATGGCAGGAACTGCAGCCATTATGGCAGAACCCTTTCACAACAAAGTAAGACTTTGAATTTAGCCTTTGGGCCTTTAATCCTGAAGCTTGTTGCTGCATCTTTTCAACAAAACAGAGAAAAACAATGAAGCCTGTTTGGTCTCAGGCTATAACCTGAAAACATGCTACTGTGCTCTTAAGGAGTATCGGCAGAAATACTTGGCTCTGATTGGTTGACACAAAGGCTTGAGGAGAAGCCCCGTCCCACTCCAATACAACAACCATTCCCGAGCTCATCAAAGCCAGAGGCTTCTGGGAAATGTGAGCATGGTGAAAGCTTTGTGTGTCTTCTCAGAGCCTCGCTGTCCACTCTGCTGTGTAAACAAGGCTCACTGTCTGTCTAAAAGCTTCAGCGGGTGTGTGTGTGTGTGTGTGTGTGTGTGTACACGTGTGACCAAGGCTCTGATGTAAAGTGTGTGTGACAGCTCTGGATCAATGCAGCGTTCATGTTGCTTCCCGCCCAGAGGACTCTTTAACCACGCTGCAGACATTTAACCCTGTTAACGAGTATCCGTCAGCAGCTTTGCTTCTTTTATTAAAGTCTGCTCACAATTAGCTTCAACAGGAAGTACACAACGAAGACGTTATGGTCCAGGACTTCTACAAGCACATGACCTCAGGTGCACCACGGACACATTTCTAAACTAAAAGTCACATTTGAAGCCACCTGAGCTTTTCTACCAGAATGTGATTAAAGCTAAAAACCACCAAGCTAACATGAACTCAGTGACCGTTTACCTTTGACCTTTTACCTCAGTGACTCTAACTCAGTGATCGTTTACCTTTGACCTTTTACCTCAGTGACTCTAACTCAGTGATCGTTTACCTTTGACCGGTTGACCTTTAACCTGGTCTCATGGTTAAAATGTCAAACAGACACGAGACTCATCACATGGTACGCCAGAGCTGCTTCCAAGATGTTTTCATTACCGAGCTCAGTGATGAAAGCGATGAATACACTTTAAATCAACCATGAAACAGTAGCAAGAGTCATTAAAGTAATGGTTCAACACTTTAGAAGTTCTGAAGTGTCTGTGGAAGCATTTCTAGTGTAGATATGTCTATGAACAACCTCACTTTGGAGAAACAGCAATCATTCCTGATTAAACAGATGAGCTGCTACCGGGTCTGAGAGAGCTCAGTAGCAAAAACATTTCTGTCTTTAAACTACTCTAATCCTCATCCAAAGATCCCTTCCAAGACTTTTATACTGATTCAGGTTGTGCTTGTAGAACATTATCAAATAAAAATGATGTGCTAATTTACATTCATAACAAGATTATTGTGAAATTTGATCAAATATTTATTTGTTACGTTCGTTCTGTGTTTTCTATCCAATTTCTTTTTGTGTGTATCTTCATTATAAACAGAGCAAATAGAGCTTGGATGCCAACTCAACACACAAAACATGATAAATAGAACGTAGAAAGGAGCAACAAAACAAGAGGCGGAAAGTTTAAAAAAATCAACCATAACAGACACTGCACAAGAGAAAATCACATCATGGACCAGGACAGCACACGGATCATGAACACAGAACAACAGAAATGCATAGAAGAGATGGAGATAAGGAGACGTGGATCCAGGACCACGTCCATGGACAGAGGAGTAAACGTGCTAGACCACTCACGGGACACGAGACTGAGAAGGTGATATTATCCTCTGCTGCTTGAAGACAAGCGGACGTGACGCCACAAATATCTGCCGCTACTCTGATGAAGGCGGCAGTGGACGCCAAAACATGTCAGCAAACGTAAAAACAAGCTCAATTTGTTCTGTGTATGATGAAGAACCACAGAAAATGAACGATAAAACGTTAAAACGGCAGTTTATGTATGGTGAAACTTCAATTCAATTTAATTTTGAAGATATTTTAAAAATCCCAGAGGCGAATTAGATTTAAAAAGTGCTTAAATGTGTTTTTGGAAGCTTAATGCAAAAAGAGATACGTTTTACACGGTAAAACCTTTAAAATACGACATAGTGCGCTTACATTTTGTCATAGTAAACGTTCATTTAATGTTTTATTGTGAAAATCCTGAGATTGTAAGAGGAGGCGGAGTTAAGATGCTTGTTGCTCATTGGTCACAGAGAAAAAACACAGGAAGTAGTCGGGCTAGCGAATTCGCGGCAGGTTAGTTGAGAAGTTAGTGTGAAAAAAGGCAAAACTGAACGTGTTAGATTGACGAACTTCAGAAAGAAACAACTTCTGTTGGGCCACTATGAGTATTTTTACCGGAAGTTTGCAGCAGTGGTACTAGAATGCACATTAGCTCGTTAGCTTGCTGTACTAGTTAGCATTCATTGAGAAGCTAAATGAGCTAACAGCAGGAATAGGCGGGCGTCTCTGTCCTAGATTCTGACGTTTTAGACGCACGCACACACACACACACACACACACACACACACACATATATATATATGTGTGTATACATATATATAAATATATATATATACATATATATATATGTATACACACACACACACACACACACATACATATACACATGTATACACACATATCTCTGCAGGTACCAGATGGGGTTTCGGCATTATGGGATGGAGGTTTCCCTCACCTGTCTCTGGTTCTCTGTCTCCAGTCTCAGTCGAGCTTCGATGCAGCGCCGCGTCTCGAGGAAGGCCTGCCGCTGAGCCCGGTCGGACAGGTAACTGATGAATATCCCAGCAGTGTTCATGCACACGAAGAGCACACCCTGAGCTGCAACCTGGAACACAAAACAACAAAAATTGTACTACAGTGAACAGAGATCACTGGATGTGCATCCTCCAGTTAGCCACCTGTACAATGAAGTAATTTTTATTCATTTTCTTGCTAATTTAACCAGAAGTTTTATCATACAGCATCTTCATTCAGCTACGAAAACTGGCTTTTATGATGACGAACATTTGAATCCAACCGTCAAAGTGACATCAGAGAAATCCAGACTTTAAACTCAAAGGAATGACTGAGGGGGAGTCCAGCTGCCTGTCAGCTCTTGTTTTAGTTCACAAAGACTCATCTGTCTGAGTTCTTTCATTCGAACATCAATTATTCACAGACTCATGATGTGTTTGTCTTCTGAGAACAGAAGTAGAATCAGAGACCAAACAAAGACCCGGCGATTGCTCTCAGGCTTCAGGTTGGGTGGCAGCATGGGAGGGATGGGGGTTGGAACCTGCAGCTGTGCTGTTTAAGTTACCCTCAATAGAAAGAGTGTCAAGATTAGATAAAAAATTCATGCCAGGAGTCACCGTGACTTCACTGTGGAGCCTTCAGCCTCTCTGACAAGTCAGCGAACCACGACGAGAACATCTGAAACAAGATCAGACTCGAGCACCGAGCTAAAGAACAAAACGGGTCACTGGTTCTCCTCAAACAGGAGAACAGCGTCTTCTTTACACGCAGGAACACGTTATCACACCTACAGAGACGTTTGGCCATTTCTAAAGGTGTTTCTGCAAATCAGTCAGTCCCGAAGGATGTAAACGCCATTTCTCTGAATGCAGGCTCTTCAGGACGCTTCAGACAAAAATTGTTTCAAACTTTAAAATCAGAGAAACAAGCGAGAACCCCAGATCCAGTCTGATGTCATCTCACTAAAGAAATGTTTAGGATTAAACATAAGAAAGAAATCCTAAAGTGTAAAATTAATCCTGTGAGGCCAAAACACATCAAATCAATCCCAGCTGCAAAAGGTTGAACCTAATTATTACAATTAAATCTATAATTGTGTTTATTTAACTCTAACAATTATCTAACTGCTGCAAAATAAAAGCAGTCTTATAATAACAATAACAATAATAATAATAATAATAACATTCTTCTCTTCCACGGCCATCTGAAGTAAACATTAATAATAAATCACCATATTTATGTTTAAACTTAAAGCTTTTGATTCTCTATAATGAACAAATATTGACTTCATCTCAGTCTTTCTGACGCTTCTTTTTCGCTGAGCGGCGAAAAGTTCCCAAACGTTTTTATCAAACACAGTTCTGGCTCCATCTCCGCCTGGCATTTCCATCCGGCATCGCACCAAAAGGCTTCCCGTCAGTCCTTTGTTTGCCGTGACACACAAGGAGATAACGACCGTGGCGAGGTGACGTGACATTTGTGAAGCACGAGGTGATTCCAAGAACGTAGACAAGTTTTACGTCTTTAATCGTCAGGATATTTTTAATGAAGATTAATAAAAACAGGAAAATTTCTTTCTTATTGAAAAAGAAGCAAAAGAAAAGATCACCACTAGGGGGCAGCAAACACAACGTTAGCATTAAACCTTTAAAGCCAGAATCTGTGACCCCTGATCAGAAATTACAAACGGCGTTCCAGAGATGGTCTCATGAGGCCGGTTCAGTTGTAGAAACCCGCTTCAGTGCAGCTGGAGTTTTGCTGCTATTTTCCTCTCAGACGTTGGGACATGAGACAAGTTGGGAGCAGCTGGGAACCAGACAGTCGTAATGAAGACCCAACTGCAACAAGAACATCAGAGCAGCTGTTGAACTTTGTTTGCAGTTGCATCGTTTGTGACCTGAGCAGTTCTAAATGATGTTCATGATTACTCAGCATGTGTGTGAAACCGGTCTCCATCCGTGGAAATCCTGTCCGATTCAGGCTGATCCGCCTACCGAGGCACCAACCCACCTGTGCAGGCACCTTTAAAACAAATCTATTAGTCCAATAAACGTTTCTGAGGGAGGATGAGGAAGGTCGGGGTTCACCCTAACCCATCAGTTAGTCCTGTTGAACAATAACAATAATAGGATTTTCTTTATTAAGGTGAATAAAAAGTTTAGTTTTATAACAGATGCTAACCATAAACTGGGCTAGGGTGCGCTCGTTTGTGGTTTAAAGTAAAAACCTACATCTGAACTTCTTCCAGTCAGTTTGGGATCTGAACCAGCAGCTGGAGTCAAACTCCACAAAGACTCGGAGAAACTGCATCTGTAACGTTTAAATAAAACTCAGCAGTGACTCAGAACAACAAGGCAGCTGTCTGGGTTCTTGGAGACGTGACTGTTCAGAGACGGAGGCTTTTCATCAGCTGTCAGCGTTCCGAGCTGACGCAACGCTCCGCAACACCGGGAGTTTCACCGGCGCCTGGCTTCCTCCTGCAGCTTCACATGATGCAAGCGTTCAAACAGGTGCGCCGAGGGCACTGAATGGAACTGCTTCTGAACCAAAACGTCCATGTCAGAGGAATTTACCCGTGTTTATTCGTGTCTCATGAGGCAGACAGGGAATAATTAGTCACAGGTGACACGTTGGAACAGGTTCGGAGCATCTGCTCCCCTCCACACCTGTTTTCTGTTACTTTAAAAAGGTCAGTTAGACAAATAAGCAGTCAACAGATGTGTTTTCATGGAGAATTCCCAAAATCCCCAAAGTTAATCTGAGAAAATATAATCCCACTAGTTTATTAGTTCCTGTTTGAGTTCATCTGAAGGCGTCGGGTCCAAACCAAAACTAAAATCTTCTTCATTAAATCAACAAGGAGCTGAATGTATTCTGTCTTTCTCATGTAAATATCAAATAACTATAATTATTAATAAGACGTGTTTTTGTTTTCTAGTAGAGTCAACAAGGTGTGTTTTTAGTGTTGCTTCTGAACCAGTAAATATTTATTCAGATTGAACCATCTCAGTTTTATTGTCAGATTTATTCTCATTCATTCTTCTAACAGGGAAACGTGTTAATATTAAAATCAAATGTAACCATTTAAATTAAATATAGAAAAATAATTAAAAAAATTCCGTCCAACTCGAGGAATCACCTTTAAATATGACGTTTGCCTGCACGTAATCAGTTATACAACATCAATAATCCCTGTTCCTCCCTGTTTTATTCCCATTCCAGTGATATTTTTTTGAGTGCAGCCTCTGATGCGTGCCTTTTTATTCCCTTAAGAGTCTCCTGGAAATAATCTGAGAAATCTGCAGTCAGAATTAAATGTAGATGGTTTCTGCAGGAAGCTGATTAGCGTGAAGCAGACTGCGGGTCACAGTGATGATGACGATCAAATAAGGTTTCATCCCCGTGCCTCCGGCGTTTTATTTTCTGGTAGTTCTGCTGCAGAACTGGGGGCAGAATCGTGTCACAGCAGATAAAAACCTCAAACAGACAGTTTGGTGTCCTCCATCAGCCGCAGCCGTGTTCGAGTGCTCCGTCGCTCTTCTCCACTGCGGTAAAATTGCTGCATTAAGAGCACTTTTCAAGAGGGAAAATGGAGCATGAAGAGGGCTTTTCTGATTTGTGGAGCTGTCGGCAGCATGACTCTTCTCAGAGAGCAGGTTGACACTCATTCAGACGGCCAGGGTTCTTCACAGAGGAACGCCTGCAGGACGCTTCTGAGGACCAAACATTAGGATTAGATCTTGGGTCTGTTGTTCACATCTGGTCTCAGAGGTACCAGGTCCAGGAGGGAGACCCAGACCTCCCTCTCCCCAGAGACACTGTTGCTCCATACGGATCCAAAGGCATTCCCAATCCTGTGCCTGGGTCTCCTCCCATTGCAGACTGGAACTCCAGAGGGAGACAGGAGGGAAGCCCCCCTCACACACACACAGCTGGAGACCTCCCCAGCCACTGATGCAGGACATGGAAGATCCTCCTGGATTGGCCGCCATGAGGCAACGACTGCTGGAACCACGACTGCTGCTCCAGCACCAACGAGCAACGGCCTGGTGCTCATCCTGCCGGCCGCTGAGGTACAGCGTACGCTCAGAGGTGTTAACACGAGGAAAGCAGCTGGTCCAGATGGTATTCCGGGATGGGTGCTACGTGACTGTGTCGCTGTCCCAGTGGTCTGTCCTCACCTGTCTAAAAACCTCCACAATAGTACCAATACCCAAAAAGTCTGCAATAACAAGCCACGACTACAGGCCTGTAGCTTTGCTAGTACTGCAACACACCAAGGACTCCCACCAGGATGGCTACAGAACCAACAGATCAACAGACGATGCCATCTCAACCACCCCCCACACGGTTTTGGCACACTTGGAACTTCCAGGTACATTTGCGAGGCTGCTACTGGTGGACTACAGCTCTGCATTCAACAACATCTTCCCCAGCAGACTATTCCACAAGATGTCTGACCTTGGCCTCGAGCACAGCATCTGCCTCTGGATACAAGGCTTTCTAACAAACCGACTACAGTCTGTTAAGTTAGGCCTGTCCCTCAACACAGGAGGCCCCCCCCCCCCCCCCCCCCCCAAGGCTGCGTGCTTCCTGCACAAACAGGACTGTAAGTCCGCCCACAACATCAATGTTATTGTTCAATTTCCCATTGATACAACCGTGGTGGGAATGATCAGCCAGGGAAATGAGTCAGCATACAGGAAAGAAGTGCAGCAGCTGGTGGACTGGTGCACAGCTAACGACCTGACCCTTAACACCAACAAAACCAAAGAAATCATCTCTCACAGTAAATGAGGAGCAGGTGGAGAGCTGCTAACTCTCCTCCATACAGGACTTGTACACCTCCAGGTCACTGAGGCGTGCAGGTCGGATCACAGCTGACCCGTCTCACCCTGGACACGGTCTCTTTGACTCGCTCCCATCCGGCAGGAGGCTCAGATCCATTTGGACCAGAACCTCTCACCACAACAACAGTCTCTTCCCCTCTGCGGTTGGACTCACGAATGACAATCCTAGGCACGCCCACTCTAGTCGCTTGGTTGCAGTCACATGACCTGTGTTGTGTTTGCACCTGAAATGATCCGCTCC